TCCTTTTTTTTGTAAGATGACCTCAGAGACTAAGTGCTAAAAACCAGCTATAACTATAAAATTTGCATAAAAATGCTATCCTGTGTTTCATTGAACGTTAATTTCCCTGGAGTATAACTTAAGAGACGCTTCTTTAAATAACATGGCATCTAGTTTCTGACTAGTATTATAAGAGCTGTTTTTCTTTTGTTTATAGTGAATGATAGGATTGAATGGAAATATGGCAAGAGGCAGTAGACGTTGTGAATTTAACCAGCCGTTTCTATGTTTTGTTGTAACAGTCTTGTTAGTTTAACTTAATCGTGAAGAACTATTAGCTGCAGTAGTGAAGCTCAAAATTCTAGCGCAAAAAAACAAACATCGTAAACCAAAATGAAGAGTAATCTTCTTGAAAATCGGGATTATCTAAAAAAAAAATACCCGTCTTTAGGCTTCGTTAATTTTTATTATAACTTATACTGAGTGAAAGTCTGTTCTTTTTGTTGACCTTACCATGTTGTCAAAATTAAAAAGTGAAAAGTGTCAGATTCACTAGAACTCGAGTATATTGTGCGTGAAAAAGGCACGAGTAAGAATATACTTCTAACACTTATCACACCAGTGAAGCCCAATCACCATTAAGTTAAACCTGTTTCGAGGACTTCCACTCCTCACTAGTAACCGTGGAAAAGAGCATATTGAAGAAATATTTATATCGGAATTTCAAGAATATCCGGCTCATATATAACCGATTCATTCTTGTAAATTATTTAGCCGACAACCTGTTTTAAAATACTAAAACTAAATTTGAAATATTTTAACTTGTCGGCTGAATAATTCACAAGAATAAATTAGCAACATTAATGCTGCATATTTTTGTATACAGGATCGTTGTGGTAATATCAAAACACCATATATTACTTTAATATCAAAGCATGCAATGGGATTAGTCCCGGGTAATTTTATGAAAACACACAGCTTATAGTATACATATAGTGATTAAAACCATGATTAACTTTCTTATGCCTCGTATGATATAATTAATACAACTACAGCCTTAAGAATTATTCAGTGTCCTCAGATGGAAACGATCGAGTCTTTTTCACTCTTACATTTGTAGATAACTCTTCCATTGCCATATTTATTTTTAATATACACACAATGCAAAACAAAAATACGCGTGTTTTACTATTCAAGGTGGTAAAAAATTCCAAGCTCCCATGGCAGTGATCGGGGAGCGGGGTGTGTGGTCATGGCAGTGGAAACGTTATTGTCCAGTAGATTAGTAAAGTTTCCTCCTAAACTATGAGACAACTGACGTGACATATGTAGGTTAAACTGTGCTCATATGAAAAACACAACAATATTTATCAAATGTTTGTTAGTGAATTGTTGCGTCATGAAACCCCTTCAGAAAAATTCTGTGGAAGGGCTTGTGAAAGAGGTTCAAAACGGAACTGGAGTTCACTTTGTGAAAGAGGTTCAAAACGGAACTGGAGTTCACTTTGTGAAAGAGGTTCAAAACGGAACTGGAGTTCACTTTGTGAAAGAGGTTCAAAACGGAACTGGAGTTCACTTTGTGAAAGAGGTTCACGGTTAGTAGTTTATTGCTAAACATTTAATATTTTATAACAGAATGCGTAGTTTATCCACCATGCTAACAAAATATGTAATATCCATTTACCGTTCACGAAACATTAGCATAAACAGTGTTACAGTACAACAGGTATTGCAAGATGTATCAAGAGTTAAACTACACAATGTTAGGTATAATCTAGTATTAAAATCATGTCGCTGCTCATGTCAGTTCTCTAGCAATCTCCAATTACCATTTCTAGCTGATTCTCAAAATAACTCCAGTGAACTCCAATTCCGTTTTGAATCCCTTTCACAAAGTGAACATAGTTCCGTTTTGAATCCCTTTCACAAAGTGAATTCCAGTTCCGTTTAGAACCTCTTTCACAAAGTGAATTCCAGTTTCGTTTTGAACCTCTTTCACAAAATGAATTCCAGTTTCGTTTTGAACCTCTTTCACAAAATGAATTCCAGTTCCGTTTTTTGTCTTGTGTTCCTAGGTAACGCATCGAACTACAGGTCAAGTAATGGTGCTCAAGATGAACACATCACTTAGCAACCGACAAAACATGTTGCGCGAAGTTCAGCTCATGAACCGATTGTCTCACCCGAACATCCTCAGGTACTTCCTTTTTTGTTTTCCTTGATTCATTTAACACCTGTAAAAAGCATGTTTTTTAATTCATCTGTTTAAAGAAAACTTAATCAAAAATACCTTAGGTGTGAAAAAAAAGAGGATTCAACGTGCGACTTAAAGGAATGAAATCAAAAACTGGCGGCCAAACTGGTTGATACACCTATAGCATTGATAATAATTTTACAGCAAATATTCATTCATTAGTTAGCTAGGCCGCGTATTATGTTTTAACCACCATCATGCTCCAAGTTGAACAAAAAACACGGCCTAGTTAACTAATGAATGGAATATTTGCTGTAAAATTCTTGTCAATGTTATAAGTGTAGCTACCAGTTTGGCCGCTAATTTTGATTTCATTCCTTTAAGTGGCACGCTCAATCCTTTTTTGGTTGCACCCTTTTTTTTTCACACCTAAGGGGTTTTTGCTTAGACATCTTGACTTTTGTCAATATACACCAACAAACCACAGCAAATAAGTAAGTGACACCTGATAATAACCAACATTAGCTTTAAGATCGCAAAACCTTTTATTCTGAACAGACCTATACCAACCAGGTTATTTAAAATATAGAGTGGTAGTTTTCCTCTCTAAAACAGTGTTAATAACTTCCTTTATAGTAACGCCATGGAATTTAGATCAACAGTATCTTCTCATCACCCACATGCACTCGGTACAGCCGTACCAAGCATCATTATTTACGCTAATTGCTTAAGTTAATATCACATGACAATAAACATAAAATTTAGCAAATTTGTGCTTAAAAGTTGGCAAAAAATTATAATTTTATAACCGTCCACCCATATCACTTTTTTTTAAAACTTGAGCTAGAACCCGCTAATCTAGTTTGCTTGGCCTAAGCAATACTTGTGTTTCTGCACGTCTTTGACACTATAGTTTTGCTGCTCTAAATCAACTGTCTTTAATCCGAATGACAAAAACTAAAAACGGTCCACTTTTACTCTTAGATGAAACTGTAGTAAAAAGTTTTAAGACCGATAGGTCATGTGACTTTTTGCGTGGGCGTGCGCAAATATTTTGGTCAAAAGTGAGCGGTTTTTGTTTAATAACTTTGCACATGTGGCTTATACTTAGACCAAATTAGACACTTAGTTGTAGGCTGTAAAGATCTATCAGTATACCAAATTTGGAAAAAATCCATAAAATTTAAGTATGTTTTTCTATCAAATAAAGTTTCCATACTTTCAGCGAGAAAAAAAAGAAAAAAGGAAGGAACTCAATGAAAGGTTGGAGATTTTATTTCTAATGTATTTCTTAATGGACTACCTTGAAATTTGATATATAAAATAAGGATCCAGTAGAGCACACCCTCTAAAAATATGTGATAGTTTGAATTAACACAGTCCGAGCTACAGGAAATGGAAAATCGCTTAACTATCACTCCTATTAATGACACACTTTGTCCTGCAGATTGTTTTGGCCGCACGATACACTACCGCGTATTTTGATATCCTCCCAGATATTACCATTATTCAAGTAGAAAATTAATGATTAATCAAGATCGAAGCAGAATCACTCATCTCATTCTTTTTAATGGGCCCGGCATGGCCAGGTGGTTAGGGCGCTCGACTCGTAATCTGAGGGTCGCGGGTTCGAATCTCCGTCCTACCAAATATGCTCGCCCTTTCAGCCGTGGGGGCGTTATAAATGTGATAGTCAATTCAACTATTCGTTGGTAAAAGAGTAGCCCAAGAGTTGGCGGTGGGTGGTGATGATTAGCTACCTTTCCTCTAGTCTTACACTGCTAAATTAGGGACGGCTAGCGCAGATAGCCCTCGTATAGCTTTGCGCGAAATTCAAAAACAAACAAACATTCTTTTAAAACCATTTTGGTGCTAGTCGGCATTTTACATAGACCTACAAACAGATGTTAAGTCTCATTATGAGACTATATTTCATAGAACACGATTATATAAACGTTTAGCCTGTTGTATTCTATAGAAGAAGCTTGTGATAGTGCTAACTAGAATACAACATGCTAAAATTGAGATAGTGCTAAGTAGATCTAAGTAGTAAATGTGTGTGCGCACACGCATATATAAAACAAAATTCCAAATTTTTCATTATATTTTTTTAATCTTTGTATTTGATGCTTTAGCTATTTGTATATTTTCATGTGCACTTTATTTTATTTTTTCTTAAATATTACGTAAACCAGTCTGAATTTTAAATGTTTTATGCGGGACTATACATATTATATGTTTTAATATTTAATTATTCCCTAGAACAGATTACAATGTTTTGTTTTTGTAGTTATTTCATCTCGCTATAGAATTGGGACTACCATATTATTTGAAAAACACATCCGTATTTGTGTGTCCGCTATTAACTGGCAAACCGCTGGACGGTTTTTCACCTAAACTGGCATTATCCCAATAGGCACCCTCCAAAAGTGATATGGGATAGTCGGCGTCAGGATCTGATTCCTCTGTATCTTTCCCTTTCATTGAACACATACGTAGTCTTCTAATACTGTGTACACTACATTAAGTTTTATTTGTGTACCGAAATGAAAGTGAAACGGCTTATAAGGACAACTAAATAAAATCGGTCGTGCCTTTGTCTTCCTTTTCAGGTTACCGTTTCTAATGTATATTATCTAAATTCGATACTTATCCTATATTAATTATATTGTGTGCTCCATCCTTTTGTTAGCGACATAATCCTACTTGCTTGGAGGCAGAATCATACCTGGCAGGCGTGCTCGGGTGGCCAGTGGGGAAGGGGGAATCTACATGTCGTGCATCTATTACCAAGGGGATATCAAAGGGGATAAATCGTGCCCGCAAAACCACCCAGTTATGGTAGGGATATATTTATAGGTTTTTTGGGTCGCTGAAACAGAAACTGTCATGTTTGAATCTGTACTCATCTCAACCCACGCACCCCTCACAAGCTTGTAGTGGGACTAAACGTGGAACTTGTACCCAGGTACCATGGGCAGGTGTCCCAGCCGGGCTTGTTTTGGAGTAGTAAGCTATGTGGAATCAGTAACGAAATTCAAAGAGTTTTATTCACGCTGTATTTTCTGATATTTAAAATTTGGAAAATTATTTTCTTGTCTATTTTAATTATTATATACCTGTGTAGTGCTATACTCGTGTAACTGCGTTGAGAAAAATAGGTCGCGTATTATAACTATCACGTTGTTCCGTTCTTGGTGACACCCACAACAACAACAGGTTTACATCGTCGTTACTATGAATTATGGACGTATATTTAGGAACCATGTTCTTTTTTTTGCGCATGCCTTGAACAGTATTGATTCATGTAATTCTTTTCATTCTATTAAATGTAACTTTGATTGGATTAGCCAGGAATTGTCAAAAAACGAGAAATAAAAAGGAAAATGAATAACAAATTATTGGACAAGTTTTGTAACTTGTGATTTTTTTTTTCTTTTTTTGATCCTGGAATATGAGATATATACAAGGGAAAATTAGCAATAAGCGCTATTGAAGCCATTTTTTTAAAAGTGTGTAACCTACTTACAAATGCAGTAAAAGCAAAATATTCGTTTAAAAGAAGCGTAAGAAACTTCAAAATTCAATTTAGGAAGGCCCGGCATGGACAAGTGATTAGGGTTCGAATCCCCCGTCACATCAAACATGCTCGCCATTTCAGCCGTGGGGGCGTTATAATGTTACGGTCGATCCCACTTTTTGTTGGTAAAAGAGTAGCCCAAGACTTGGCGGTTGGTAGTGATGACTAGCTGCCTTCCCTCTAGTCTTACACTGCTAAATTAGGGACGGCTAGCCCTCATGTAGCTTTGCGCGAAATTCAAAACAAACAATTGAGGAATGGTACATGCTATTTCCCACGTAAAACTATATTTAGTGCATTACTTGTATATGTGAATTCATAATATTTTTCATGTTCAGTTATTGCTGGTAATACATTTAACATTTTATCAAATGTCCACCTGTTTCCTGTTCATGAACCTGTATCAGACTGTCAAACACTTGTTTTACCAGCAGTGAGAATGTTATGAGAGATATTAGGTCTAAATATTTATAGAATCGAACTAAACATTAGATCGTAGAATCAAAGCTACATTAGAATATCTTCAGTACATATGTATCTCAACGTACACACACGTTATGCGTACAGTCATGGTATCCGATTTATTCAGGTTGGCTTTATACGCTACTTGCAAAACAGTTTTTATTCGAAATGTTTATATACTTTTAACTTTTTACGAAACGCTTATCCTTGTTATTTTAACCATTAATTCAAAATGCTACATTTTTAGGTTTGGCATGCTCCCCCCTCCTTCATAGCTCGGCGGGAAATCTGAGGACTTATAACGCTAAAGGTCCGGGGCTCGATTCCCCGCAGGGGTCAGAACGCAGATAGCCCATTGTGTGGATTTGCGCTAAAAACAACATCGATTAAGCCAAACTGAGTTTTTCAGCTATCTTTAATGTTTCTCACTCCTGCGGTATGTTTTGATGTCAGGGTATTAGCCGTATTTTCCAAGTAGCGCCGAACTAGTATGACTGTAAGGTGAAATATTTCTTATTGGAAGAGGTAACTAAATTACCAGAACCCACATAGCAGGAGAATACATCATCTGTCGCAAGCCGGCCAGGTGGTTAGGTGAATCGACTCGCAATCTGCGGGTCGCGGGTTCGAATCCGCATTACACCAAACATGCTCGCCCCTTTCAGCCGTGGGGCGTTATAATGTTACGATCAATCCCACTATTCGTGGGTAAAAGAGTAGCCCAAGAATTGGCGGTGGGTAGTGATAACTAGCTGCCTTCTCTCTAGTCTTACGCTGCTGCCCCCCAATGGCACAGCGGTATGTCTGCGGACTTACAACGCTAGAATCCCCGATACCCGTGGTGGGCAGAGCACAGATAGTCCATTGTGTAGCTTTGTGCTTAATTACAAACAAACTTACGCTGCTAAATTAGGGGCGGCTAGCGCACATAGCCCTCGTGTAGCTTTGCGCGAAATTCATAACAAACAAACTGTCGCAAGCCTCACGTCTTGATTTTCAGTAAGAATTGTGATTTAAGATACAGCTGTTGTGGACTTCAGTTTTAATATTCGATTTATGTTTACTCAGTTCCATAACTCACAGTGTACAGTTTGGGCTGTCATTGGCCTGACCTTTGTGGGGGTTATAGTGACATACTGGGGTCTACTTTTGATATATTTCGGTCTTTCACATTAGATCGTTGTTATTCAGTAATAACATGCTTTTATTGTGTTTTTTTTTGTGTGTGGGGGGGGGGGGTTAGTCTTCTCGAGACCTGGTGGTAAGAGCTAGACTTGCAATCTGCGTCGCGAGTTCGAATTCATCACCGTGAAGGGGGGGGGGGGATTTGACCCACTTTTAGTTGGCAAAAGGGTATCTTAAGAGTTGGCGGTAGGTGTTTTTGACTAGCTGCTTCCCCTATAGTCTATCACTTCTAAATTAGGGACGGCTTTGTGCGAAATTCCACGGAACATAGTGTTTCTGTTCTGGAAATATTTACTTAACTTGCGCAGTTACTTTTAATTTTATCATTCCGAAATAAGTAGCACAGTTTGTTTTTTTGTTTTTAGTTGAATCATATAATGAACAACATTTGGGAGTGGAATGAGTCACTGGTAGCTTGGGTGACGGCAGCTACATCTGTTTCCTTGGCTAGAGTTTGCATTGTCCTTGGGCCGTCATTGTTGAACTTCCGCCAGATGGCAGTATTCAGATTTGCTAATAGAACGTGGGTGTCTTGGGGTCGTCTGGCGGTCATACTAAGAAACCTGGATGTCATTCGACACCTCTTCAAACAGATGATTGTAACACAGAATAAACTATCCAAATATGAATACTATAATTACACTCCAAAGCTATATTTATTCTCGAACCAGCAAATAGTAGAGCAAATAATCTTCAAGTGCTTGCGATTTAACAGCGTAACGACCCTGAGGTGAAGATTAATAGAAGACTCGAATATCGTTATTACTTAGATCAAGTGGAGATGAATTTAAAACGTACGCCTAAGTACTTGATATTCCAGCGAATAAACCTGAAATACAATCTGCGGTAGCAGTATTAGTAAATACAAAATTTATACCAGTCTGGTAGATCTGTGGAAATAAATATAACGGTGTGAAGATGTCAACGATTGAAACTTCGCCCTTATTCTACTACGTGATATTATGAAAGCTTTATTATCATTTTTACCACTATAATTCCAATGATGTGAAAAGTTTATCCTCACTGTCATGGTGGCACTATGAAAACTTTACTTTCATCCCTTCGCTACCAAAAACTATCCTCATTTCACTACCACCATTGTGACAACATGAAAGCTTTAATTTCATTCTGCCGCTGTCATTTTGAAAAGTTTACACTCTTTCTGTCGCTAATATTGTAACATTGTGAAAAGTTTATCTACATTCTGTGTGACATTGTGAAAGTTTATCTACATTCTGTCGCTGTCATTGTGACATTGTGAAACTTTATCTACATTCTGTCGATGCCATTGTGACATTGTATCTACATTCTGTCGCTGTCATTGTAACATTGTGAAAAGTTTATCTACATTCTGTGTGACATTGTGAAAGTTTATCTACATTCTGTGTAACATTGTGAAAGTTTATCTACATTCTGTCGCTGTCATTGTGACATTGTGAAAGTTTATCTACATTCTGTCGCTTGTTTGTTTTTTGAATTTCGCGCAAAACTACACGAGGGCTATCTGCGCTAGCCGTCCCTAATTTAGCAGAGTAAGACTAGAGGGAAGGCAGCTAGTCATCACCACCCACCGCCAACTCATGGGCTACTCTTTTACCAACGAATAGTGGGATTGACCGTCACATTATAACGCCCCCACGGCTGAAAGGGCGAGCATGTTTGGTGGGACGGGGATTCGAACCCGCGACCTGCAGATTGCGAGTCAAGCGCCCTAACCATCTGGCATGCCGGGCCATTCTGTCGCTCACATTGTAACATTGTAAAATGTTTATCCACATTCTGTCGCCGTTATTGTGACATGTTTATCCAAATTCTGTCGCCGTCATTGTGACATGTTTATCCAAATTCTGTCGCTGTCATTGTGACATGTCTATCCACATTCTGTCGTCGTCATTGTGACATATTTATCCACACTCTGTCGCCGTCATTGTGACATGTTTATCCACACTCTGTCGCCGTCATTGTGACATGTTTATCCACACTCTGTCGCCGTCATTGTGACATGTTT